TCGTTTTCCGTCAGCATTCAGCAAATACGCATTTATATCATTTAAACAAATCTTTGAATGTCTAATGAACATTTAATTAAAAAAATCTTGCAAAATTAGTCGAATCCAGCTGTGAGATCTTGTGAATAAAATGTAATTACTTTAATTTCTTAAAATTTCTTAAATATTAATTAAAATAAATAAAAATATATCGGCCACCCTGCTTTCCAAGATATCGGCATCGGCTGTCAAAAAACCAATATCGGTCGACCACAGGTTGAAAACCCCTGCTTTAGATGCCTCGACCCCGCTGATTTCAAATTAGTGGTCGACCGATATATCGCCAAGGCCGATATTTGGCATTAGATGATCTGAACACTGTTGAGTAAGTACTTTACTTTACTCTGGCATTACATCCCTCTGATCAGCATGTGGTACATTATATTACTATAATTAAAAATCTTTTTGGAAAATTAAAGTTTCTTACAAACTTATGTGATTTGATAAAATACATAAGGAAATATAATCGTATATGGGTAACGGAGAAATTACAATTAGCTTCAAGCTACACGTGACAATTAATGAGATTAATACTTCTAACACTTCTACTTGAATGTCACTATCAATCGCTATTGAGTGTTTCTAATAACTTCTGACTGCGATCCAATGTGGATTTTGGTCAAATGATGAGGCAGAAATATGTTGTTAGTAACATTCTAATAACTTCTGACTGCGATCCAGTGTGGATTTTGGTCAAATGATGAGGCAGAAATATGTTGTTAGTAATATTGTAGAAGAATTTTATGTGGAAGATACACAGTTACAACTTCTGTGGGGCGTGAAGAAAAAGTAATGCAACTAGTAGTGTAACTAATTACTGTTGCCAGAAAATAATAAGTAACAATATTACTTTTGAAAGGAGTAACTAGTAATGAGTAATATATTACATTCTTTGAGTAACTAGCCCAACACTGTTTGCAACAGAGCTTTGGCAATGAACGTTATTTAGCCTTAATATATATATAAAATATATAGCCTTAAAGACGAAAGAGGGGACAAAAAGTAAATTATGACTATTTGTTCGCTTAAATGTAGAATGCACTTTTATCAACTGATTAGACATATTTCTATAAATGTAGTTCAATCATTAATACCCATCAAAACATTTTAATTTTGCTGTTCAGGAGTGTTATTTTAATATCATTGAGATAGTACCATTAAATAGTTTTAAATCAGTTTTTATCTTTATTTTCCGTTTCCATTTGAAATGTAATTTTTGTATGTTTGTCATTTTTAGTATTTTTTTATACATATGTCTATATAGTTTTCATTAATTTATTTCAGTTTTAGTTATTTTTGTACATCAAGGTAAACTAAATTAAAATGAGAAATGTTGCCATGGAAACTAGCCGAAATAAAAAGTGAACATTTTGTTTTATATCAGTTAACGTTTATTTTATTTCAAGTAACAAAAATGTTTTTATAATGGGTTTTATTTTTAACTATAAAACCCTGGTTCAGCACATTGAACTTTATAAAAAGAAACACTGACCAAATTTGAAAGTATTGTTTATATAATATATTGCGTAAAATGGTGCATTCTGAAACCATAAAGTGAAAGTTAATATATACAGTTAAATATAATAGAATACACTAGATATAAATTAAGTACTTCTATATTTATAACGTTTCTATATGGATATTGATCATAAACATCAAGTGAAATTTTATGGAAATTATCCATGTTATATGAAGAAATTATTACTGTTATTATAATATATCTTAATTATATTTATTATAAGTCGTACAAATCTTGATTGGAGAATTATGCATGTTTAAGTGTAAAATAACAGTTCTTACATCTGGAACCTTAAAGTGAATCTTAACTTATTAAAATTCAGTAAAATATACTGCATATAAACAATGCAAATTCCTATATGTGGACTTCAAATATTGATCAAGAATATTATTTGATGTTTCTAGAAACACAGTACATGCATATTTCATATGTAACACAACTCACAGTAAAATCTCCAGTTTAAAAGTTTATTTAATCTCTAGTTTTTCTGCTCTATGGTGATGCAGAGGAACGTACCGGCGCCTGCAATCCTGGCTCAAAACCGGGCGACGGCGCAGACTGAGAGGAGCTTTTGGGCCACTGAGATGCAGAAGCTGAAAACACAAACACAGGAGTCAATAAAGCCTTGTGTGTGGAGGCATCAGAGCAATCCCACAGCAGATGGCCTTCAAGGAAGAACCTTCAGGAAACCCACCAGCAATGTTTGAAGGAGAGCCCACAGGAGTGGAGGGACTCGGGGAGTAGCTGCTGCCGTTGTTGTCAGAGGGATAGATCTAAAAATCACAAGAGACAATATTAAGTCATAGGGTTGAGCTGAAAGATGTGTGATTGTTGTGTTTATCAGTACATGTTATTTTTTTAAAACATTTTTCAGCATGAATCTCCCATAAACATTTAATCATACCACATGGAGTAATTCCAGAAACTGCCGTCACAAGACCTATTTCACGGATCCAATGCTGATACACATGCGTTTTATTTTGCAACTGTTTACATTAACTTAAGACAAACCCGACAGTACTTTCTCAATTTGGGAGAATTGTGAAATAGATTTTCATGACTTTTCAAAAACTTTTTTAGTTTATTTATTTTTACTAAACTTTCTAGGCCTGGGAATTGCTGTTCAATGACTGTTCCAGGTTTTTTATGACCGTACGAACCCTAATGTGATGATCGGGTGCGGTTATCTAAATCAGACAAAAATACAGCTGCGGGCGGTTGGCGGGTGGATAATTTTGAAGCTGCGGATTCGGGAGACGTTTTAGCTCATCCGCGCATCAGTAATATATATATATAAACAATTTGCAATTTGAGCATTTTGAGTTGCAATTAAGCTGTGGATGCATTTGTGCCTCGTTATTACGATGAATCTGGTACATATTATGCATGTTTTGATGTGTACTGCTTACACAAATTTAGCAAATACATTCCTTATAAGCTTTCCAATTACGATATTATATGATATTGCTACCAGGAGTTTATCACCACATTAGATTGTAAATGACAGACTCACCGAAGCGAGCGCTTTCCCGATCTCGGCGCCGGAGCTGCCTGTGTTTCCAGCTCTGCTGACTGTGAACAGAGAATGAAGCTGTGTTTACAGGTGAACTGAAACGAGAGCAGGTCGCAGCAGTGAAGCTCTGGTTTGTGGTCACGTCTGGGTGGAGAGTCTTACCCATGATGCTGTCGGAGCTGCTGATGGGTGGCGTGTGGTTGGGAACGCCATATCCAGCCGAGGCCGAGTGGAAGCTGGTGGGTAAGTTGACCTCACTCCCGTGAAGAGGGTAATTCTGCGGCGACAGGGGCAAAGGCTGCCGCTTCTGCGGGCGACACACACACACACACCCACACACACATGCAATTATTCACGAGCACGTGGCAAACACGTTATGGTATCTATCATGCAGCTCTGGTGCGGCCGAAAAGCAACTGAGAAAGAGCAGGTTCAACATCAGGAATGTTCGATGGCTTTTCCACATGAAGGTCTGCGGTAATTAAATGCATTTCTTCTGTGGTCTCTGGCTCATCAGAAAGGAAAAACATCTAGATGAGGTCATCAGGAGCTATTTTTTAACCAAATGAATTTGAGATCATGACTGATCAGACACAACTAAGCTTTTTGCAATTATTAAACAAATGTCTGATAAAATTGACATGTCTGGTAAGTGACTTAAGAAGAGTTACCATAAATACTGTAAATTTAGCCATTTATATATATATATATATATATACACACACACATACATACACATGCATACATATATAGATACACACTTTTATATATTGAGAATTTCTATTAAAACACAAATATTTATATATATATTTTTATAAATAAATAACTTTGTCAGAGTGACCTGAGAAGAGTTAAATACGGCAAACTATAAATTTAGCCATTTTTTATATTAAAATAATTTTTTTTTATAAATGTGTAATTTATATTTAAACATAAAAATTTATATAAAAACACAAATTATAAATATTTACATAGCAAATTTTTTATAACTAAATATCTAAGACTGAGAAGAGTTACCATAAATGACAATTTAGCCATTTATATATTTAATTGTATACATTTTTATATATTTATAATTTGTATTTAAATATAAAAGTGATATATTTAAATACAGATTGTAAGTATATTTAAATATTTTTTACCCAAAATGAATCACTTTGAGACACATCAATGGTGAGTGACCTAAGAGATACCATAAATGACAATATTATAAATTTTGCCATTTATTTAAATATATTTTTATTTATTTAAAAATAAATAGGCACAATATTTAAAAAAAAGCTCAGAATATATGTGAGCCTGGAGCACAAAAGCAGTCTTAAGTCGCTGGGGAATATTTGTAGCAATAGCCAAAAATACATTGTATGGGTCAAAATTATTGATATTTCTTTTATGCCAAAAATGGACAACTTTAAAGATGATTTTCTCAATATTTAGATTTTTTTGCACCCTCAGATAGGGATGGGTACCGAAACCCGGTATTTAATCGGTACCGGGGCTAAATGATGAAAGACCGGAGTATCGATAAGCTCTGACGGTTAACGGTTCTGCTATCGGTACTGGAGAAATTAATAAAACACACATACATTTATTATTGCTATATATACATTATCAAATTCTATCTCACTCACCAGAGTTGCCAGCTGTTTTTCAAACATTTGTCTATGATGCATTTCTGCTATTCGCAATTCAGAAGCGAGATCGCGCTCACGCGGAGGAGCTTCAGCACGCGCAACATGAAAGCCCCGTTTAATTATGATAGAAGAGAGAACTAAACATTCAAACATCTGCTTACACTTTATGCCTGTAGCGGTTTTATTAAGCTAATTTTATTTTTTTTATTTCGTTTTCGGCTTCTAAGGATTATACAAAAGAAGACATGAGGTAAAGCTATTAAAAACTAGCTGCTTTTCGTCTTGCACAACTTCTTTCCCTTCACAGCGGTGCGCATTCGTTCCTCCCTAAAACCCAAACTTAACGTCAGAATCAGCTCAATCGGTGATTGTTGTAAGATGCCGTCTTTACTGTTGCTAAATTGCGGGA